CTACCGAGGGCTAGCCGCCGGGGACGCCTGAGGGGCTGCGTTCCCTGGCTGTGCGTTGCTTTCCAGAGGTGTTATGTGGGCGACAGCCTGTGTTAACGGAGCAATCTCATTCCTCTGTTGCATAAGCATTTGTTTGTGGCGAGCTAGGCAGCCAGCGCCTGAGCCACGGGATCCTGACCTGACCTCCATGATGGCTGGATCGTTTTGTCACAGAGTTTGAAATGGACTCAGGCGCAGACCAGAAATCCTTGGCAAAGAAGACAGTGCGTTTATTTACAGTGAAACACCAGGTGACGATATATACACAGAGCTCCTCTCCTCAGCAGTTTCTTTACACACACACGCTCCCTCAGCTTTACGGGGAACAGGTCCAGGGCTGTCTCTCTCACAAACACACACACACACACACACACACACACACACACACACACACACACACACACACACACACACACACACGAAGAATAACACAGGTCCGCCATCATAAATAGTGCTTCAATCTAGGGCTGGGTATCGTCACTGATTTCTAGAATCGATTCAATTCCGATTCACAAGGTCCTAAATCGATTCGATTCGATTCGAATTGGGGAGATTTTGCCACAGACAGTCAGAAATATTATAGTTCTGATCACTTATCAGTACATATCGGTATTTTTATATCTATAAAAAGAAAGCTGACACTTGTGAGACTTTATCAAAGGTGTGAGCATCACAGCAGATTCCTTTGTGTCAAAGTAACTGAGGATAAAACACAGAAAAACATGAAGGTGGTTTTCCTGGTCTGGGTTTTTATAGAAGATGACCTTAAAAATACTGTGCAGTCAAAAGCGAAGTGAAGCAAAGTTACAGAGGTTCGATTAGAGACACAGCTAAGGATTTTGCAATTTTGCATAATTTTAAAAAGTTTACATTTGTTCAGTATTGAACAGCAGAAATGAGGCTTTCTTGTCGGAAGTAAGTAAAAAAACAAAAAACAGCAGCCGACACCGTAGACTGGTTATTAATAAGTAAGTGAATAATGCAAAAAACAGAGATTTTTAGATGGGAAACTATTCCTGAGAGAGAGAGAGCTCTACATGAAGTGTGATTTTATCGTGGTAGAAGCAAAACAGCAAAAGTAAGAGGAAATTCGTGACAATGTTTATGTGAAGCGAAATGTGAAGCGTAGTTTGGATCGTCTTTGGCTGCTGGTTCAGTCAATATTGTTTGGAGAGAGATAAAACCTGCAGCTTCAGAATCTAGCGCAAAAAGGTAAACACAAAGCGCCCGCCGACGCTTCAAAATCAGTGAAGCTGTCGGCTTTCAGCCCCGACGGTGTGTCGTCTCACCGATTCTGATGCGTCGGCAGGTTTGTGTTTAGCTCTTTGTGCAGAATCCGTGTACCTGCTCTCATTTACTGTTTTAGCTGTTTGGCGGTTGTAGAAATTTTGTGAGGTTTAAATAAAATAAATTTATATTTTAAAAACGATTCAGGATTTTAATGAATCTATATCACGTTATTCAAGCTAGAATCAATTCTAATCGATAAATCGATCATCAAAACCCACCCCTACTTCATTTCGCTGGGATCAGCTGCAGGTGTGACGGTGAGCACAGGTGCTTGGGCCAGGGGCGGGAGCCTGTAATGAGCACCGCTCATTACGAAAGAGAGAGGTCAAAGAACAAACAAAACGTGTTGCCTACCACAGAGTCAGCCAGCGAGGCACGGGGACCATGACACAATGTCCATCATCTCTACCTCACAGTCATACACCATTCTTCATCAGCTGTCAAACACATGATCCAACCAAATCAGTCAAGCAGTTCGATTAGAAGTATAAATCAAACAAAATGAATCCAGAATGCATCATGTCTAAATTGTACTGTACACTGATCAGACATAACATTATGACCACCTGCCAAATATTGTGTTAGCCTAAAGAGCCCTCACCCATTGAGACATGGACTCCACTAGAGAGACCCCTGAATATGTGCTTTGGTATCTGGCACCAAGATTTTAGCAACAGATCCTTTAAACCCTGTGAAGTCAGGCTTCCATGGATCAGACTTGTTTGTCTAGCACATCCCACAGATGATCGATCGTATTGAGATCTGTGAAATTTGGAGGCCAAGTCAAATTCATTGTTGTGCTCATCAAAGTATTCCTGAACCATTTTTGCTTTATGGCAGGGCACATTATCCTGCTGATAGAGTCCACAGTCATCAGGGAACACCGCTTCCATGAAATGGTGTGCACATAGTCAGCAAATGTTTAGACGGTGATATCTGTGGTGCCCATTGTTGATGCTTTTGAGGGTGGACAGGGGTCAGCACGAACACCCTGACTAGTCTGCGACTACGCAGTTTCAATACGTAACAATTCATTCAGCCTTCGTTTCCACATGCATCAGTGTGTCTTGGCTGCCAGTTCAACACTGTTCCTTCTTTGGACCACTTTTGATAGATACTGACCAGTGCAGACTGGGAACATCCCACAAGAACTGCAGATTTGGAGATGCTCTGTCCTGCCCTGGTGATATGCTCCGCTCTGTGTGCTTGTGTGATATAAAGCAACTAGATGTAGAAAAAAGTGCTTGTATGGATGTCTGTATAAAAGGATTAGTGAATGCAGCACGGTGGCATGTTGGTTAGCACTGTTGCCTTACAGCAAGAAGGTCCTGAGTTCAATTCCACCATCAGTCTAGGGTCTTTCTGTTTGCATGTTCTGGATGGATGAATAAAACATGTTGTATAATGCACTTTAGGTGCTCAAGGACAGTAAAAGAAAATGCTATATAGGAGCCAGGCTTCTTGCATAATTCTAACCCTTGCTAGATGAAAACTCCATACACTTTTATATATTTAAATTCTTTTCATATTCAGATTTGTAGACATTGAGTGTGAGAGTGAAAAGGGGTGAGGACAAAATAGAGTGACAAGAAAATAATTTAAAAAGAAAGAAATTTGCAAATGCAAATTCTAGCTCTTACTCTCCGACTCGTTGGACTACTTGCTGTGTCAATTCCCAGCTTTCATTATCAACATTTAATGTCTCTTCCAGCTGATGACTATAAAAATAAAGGCAATAAATGTCCCAAAATAATTTTAAAAAGAAAGAGAGAAGAAGCGTCATTTCCTAAGCTACCCTCCTTCTGCTAACTAGTCTGTCTGTAAGTCTCTCCTGCACTGATTTAACATTAAACAGGAAAGGCTCTGAGCTGAGGGGTGGCAGTGGGCAGGGAGCAGATTCCTAACGCCTCACGGGGAAGTGAGGCGTTAGGAATCAGAGAGAGAGGGAGAGAAAGACTAGGGCGGGCCAGGGTTAGGTATCACATACCAGGGGCCCCAGACTCCAAATCAGCCCTGTCTAGACTCTCTGGCACCTGCATCTGCTTATTTACCACAGAGAGCCACCGGAGGCTTTGTCAGGGCCACAGCACCATGCCACAATCTGACCAACACAGCTACCTCCATTCCCTCCTCCATCTCTGTAAGCACCTCTCCTTTACTTCTGGCTTCCCTGCTCTGTAAAGCTCGCATCGTACCAAATGGTGACCCCATTAAAACAGAAGACGGGGAAAAGGGCAGGTCAGTGAGCATGCTAAGAAAGTGATCAAATAGAGGGGTCTTATAAATCCAAGAAAGGTGAGAGGATAAAAAGGTGGAAAATAGGGCAAAACAGTTGGTCAGGGATCCATTTTTTACAAATGGAAGAACACGTATTCCCTGTATTGAATTGAAATTGTGTTTTGTGTGGGAAGATAAACAAGGAGGATTAAGTAGAAAGACAAAACTGGAAGTGAATCTTTGGGAATAATACAAGGACTCTAATGTTCTCAAGTCACTTTTGTTTTCATTGTGCTGATCAAAAAAGCTTCATAATAGTTTCACGAGCAGTATCCAGAAAGAACTTCACCAATTTAGAGATATCATCATTTTGCCACATATGCCAGTTTCCAGTTTGGAAACATAGGGCTAAAAATATTAAAATGCCAAAGTGCCCAAAACTGTAGTTCCCTAAGCCTCTAAAGCCTAACCTGTCGCTGGGATCAGACAGGTGCTTTTCAATGATATCAGGGTCATTACGGTAATCCAGGTACGGTGTCACAGCATGTCCACAAAGACGAAGTTGGCTGACAGAAGGATAGCGAGTGAGTGTGATGCAAAAAAACAGACATTTTATTGTTCATAGATGTCTTGAACCAGCCAGTTATGGTAGTTTGATCTAAAACCACCTTTCATGTAAACCAAAGTAGCTCCTTGAAGTTTTCTGAAAGAATGCATCAAACAGCATTAAATCTTAAAATGTTCAAGCTTTTAGCCATGAAAATATTTTTACAGACTGGTTAAACAAAAACAAACGCTTTTGGTCTCTATGGATACTCTTCATGACATTTGTGGATTTTTATAACTCATACATTGGATGTGTTTTTTAGCCATCTCCTGAGCCTAATTTAATTCCCTGAACTCAACTCTCCACTGTGCCTGTGCCTTTGGAGAACTTTTGTTGAAATTTAAGGGCAAGGTTGAAGTTCACATCCTGGTCACACTGCAAACTGGTACTCCTTCTACCATGGGAGAACCCTGATGTTAACATTAGCTGCTAACACGGACATGATGGCAGTGATGAAAGGAATGACTGACCCGGTCAGCTCAATCTTAGCAAACCCAAATGATGTTAAAATAAAAGTTGAAAGAAATTTGTTTGAGGTTTCACCTTAATTTTCATCAGCAGCTGTATTTCGGTGTTTATGTCCCCTTTTAGTAATGGAACTTAAAAACGCTAATATGGAAAAAGATACAGAAAAATGTGAAATCGTGCCAGGTTGCTTTCAGGACTCACTGGAAAAAGAAATGAAGGAGGAAACAAAGCAATGTGCACACACTCTGACAGAAGAATGAGCAGCAATCCTCTGGTGGGTTTTGGTTCCAGATGTGGTGTGTCTCTCACTTTCGCTCTGTTTCTCATGCATTAATTCCTGTATGTCATTAGTTGCTGATGCTAATGTGTGTTTCTTGCTCTACTGGCAGTGTACATTAGCCAGTCTTACCTGCGGTATGCAGTCTGTGTCGGCAAACATGGACCTAAATTTGTGGTCCATGCTGATGTTATACAGAATGGACATGCTGAGCTGTCTCTGGCCCTCATCAGCTACAACATAAACACAAGAGAAGGAGGTAAGTCAATGGAGGAGGGGGAGGGAAGTTAATGGATGAATGACTGGTTGTGCTGTAATGTTCCACAGGATGCCAATGACCACATCTAGGAGGGCTGTGTGTTTTTCTAAAAATATTAATGGGATGAAAGGCCTCTTTAATTGAAGGTCAATTGACATTCAGTGCAGAATCAGCAACAGTCAACTGCAATTTCTCAGTTTGTTGCGTCTCTTAAGCAGTTAGTAGACAAAAACATCATGAAGGCAAGATTGTCATGCTCTAAAGGCACAGCTCACCAAACATCACCAAGGCTGTAGCTGTCGCTCAGGAGGTAGAGCAGGTCATCTACTTACTGGAAGTTTGGTGCTCAGAGGGCTGGCTGCTGCAGTCTGCATGCCAAATATCCTTGGGCAAGATATTAACCCAAAGTTGTTCTCAGATGCATCTATCGGAAGGTGGGGAAAAAAATGGCCCCTTACCTGCGCAGACTCATTCGCAGAGAATTTACATTTTAAAGCATCAACTTTGCATGCGCCACCATGAGCACAGTTCAAAGAAGTATAACAGGAATGACTGCTCAGCCACTGGTCCCCTGCTGTCCCTGTCCACATCCACAGTGGGGTATAATCTAGGCTTAGGCTGTCGGTGAGCCCAGGAACTTTATGAGTTTGACCTGTGACCACAGCTGGGGGCCTGAAGGAGGAACCAGCTACAGAGAATTAATGAAGCTGAAACCAGAGTTTCACCTTGGGAGTTTTCATTAAGGGAAGTGTTAAGAGAGAGGCTTCTCACTGGAGGACAGCCACTGAGAGACACCCTGTAATGTCCACCAGCCTCCAAAGCCCCACCCTGTTCCAATTAAAACTGATCTCAGCTGTGTTCAGTCACTGGCTGTTTAGGAAGCCTTATCTCAGAAAAATTAGATCCAGATGTACTCAGTGAACCTCTGGAATCACAGAAGGGAGTGAATGCTAAGGAGAGGGAGCTTCTAGCTTTAATTGGGAAAACAGGAGGAAGCATCAATTTTACTGCCTTTAATAAGTTAAAGCCACGCTGCTCGCTGCTTTGGCCCTTCCCGTGTGCCCACCAATTGACCGGAACATGTGCTGCTCATTAGTGAGCCTTTACCTTAACCAGCACCTTGAAGTGCACAACTACCAACTGCACACACAGAGAGGCAATAAGCTTGTCCAGGCCAAGAAAATTCCCTACTTTTCTAGAATGAACATAGAGTCGAGGATTCTTTATGAGCGAAAAGAAAGACCCCATTAAATGTTCAAAACACAAGTAGGGTTAGGGCAGCAGAGAAGGAAAAAAAGGTAAAGGGGAGCTGTTAAGAATTAACTAGACTATGTTCAAGGGCAGTTAGTGGGAGAGCTAAACTTCAATTACACCCCAGGCTAATTTAAAACTGCCTAGCCTTTGTAAAATTACACCCACAAACATTAAGAAATGTCTGTGGGCTGCACCTCTCCATTGTTATTGAATTTTCTGGATAAATAAGCATGAAGGGTTGGGTATTTGAAGACATCACATACCACATAACGAGATGTTATAAAAATGCTTCACAAAGATCCCTGCCCCCACTTAAATCCTCTAATTTGTCTTGTAATGACAATCAACATGCTGCACTGTAGCTTATGATTTGAAGCGCTAGCAGTGGTAGAAATTTATTTATCAGTATTAAATACATTTCAGTAAGTGTGTTCGTGTACTTTTTCCCTCTGCCATTTCTCATTATTACACATACCTTAATTTATGCACAGTGGTTTGATTGCTTCTTATGTGCGGATTGGATTGGTTCTTACCGACATTTGGTGAGAATTTCATGTCAAAAGGGCCTTTAGGAAAATATTTACTTTAAAAATTTGTCACGTGTTCAATACTTATTTTACCTCCTATCATTTTCCAAATGACCTCATAAGATATATTTATAGATTTGACTTTTATTCCAAATCTCAGTATAATTTAGATTTGTGGAAAAGCTGTCTTCAACATATTTTCAATAAATTTTTGGTGAATGCAATTACTCTAACTGTGCTGTTTACAACATGTGAGTAAAGCTTTACAAACATTCTAACCACTTGCACTGTAGATCTTCACATTTTGGGTTGTGTGTTTGTGAAGAGCCCAAATTCTGACAATATCTAGCTCTTTTTCCAGTGGAGTCTGTATGCATTTATGATGAGTTATGTAACTAATTTAGGGGTGGGGGCATGCGTGCACAGTTAATAATACGTAATAACATGTAGCAGTGAACAATCACGCCTGCTCATAGTACTAATGCACTAATGTAACTAATTTACAGTGGAGTCTGTATGGCTTTATGATGAGTCATGTAACTAATTTACTTACTTTCAGTTTCATGTGATAGAGTCATTTTAAATAAGCATTTTAAATAAAGTAGTTGAAAATATAACAATAACATGCTTTGTGACTTCTTGGAAATTAAGGCAATAACTTAAATTCAGTTTTATTTACTTACTATTTATTTATTTGTTTTGGTTTTGTCTTAAATTCAGAGAAAACTTATTTTTGGTTTATAAATTTGTTTTTGCCACAAGGTCCTGAGGTCCCAAGTCTTTTCTGCACTCCCGACCCCACTGATCCACTTTAATAGATGAAAAATGTAATTTACTGCACATTAAACTGTGAATTATTTTTTTTTACCAATGTTTATGCGTGAGCTGCAAAGCAGAGATGAAGAGAAATGATGTGTTCAAGCTTGATTGTCTGATGAAACAGGAAAGAGGTGATGATGTCAAGTAGAGTCTCCCTCTTCACTTTCATCTTATCAGTCAGGGTCAGGACCTCAGGTCTGGCCTGAACAGAGATCCAAAAGGCATGAAGGGAGAGGAGACCATTGCTGTGTTGTCTGTCCTTAGAGATAATTGCATTTAGTGTGTCAGCTGAAAACTGGACAGTTGGCAGAGGGAGCAGATGATTAATGGTCTCCTGGTTCACACACAGGGCACAGAACACACACACCTAGTGTCAAGACTATAAGCAGGCGTGATTGTTCACTGTTACATGTTATTACTTGTGCATGCATGCCCCCACCCCTCCACAAAGCTCTACCTAAATCTCCAAAGACATAAATATCCGTCTCTCAACCCTGATTGTATAAAACAAAATCATCTGACCAGAATCTGGCATGTTATTCGAACAAATACACTCTATTAATTATGTACTGTTACCTGAGCCTCTCCTGAGAGGTTTCAAAAGCCCCAACAGAGATGACGATGTCACACAACTCTGCAAAGACACATCCTGTGCAGCTTTGCAAAATGGTCCCAAGGGGAACTTCAAGGGATGGGCATAAAAGCTATATACATATGCCTTAATGATTGCAAATTAATAGCAGAGATCAATGCGTCTTTCTGATGTCCCGTGTCTTTCTGTTTTAGAAAACACCTTAAATGCTGGTTCCGACACATGAACCCACAATTAAACAAATCTACAGGAACAAACAAAGGGAAACATAAACACTTAATCTTTACTGGGACTGATTACCAAGCAGAGAGGAAAGTTTGGGAATGAATCCAGCCTGGTTGTGGAGAGAAGTGTCAAAAGACAGGCTGAACAGGAGGCGCAGGGTGGCGTCCAGGAGCTCCTTGTAGTCACTGGGAACTAAACGGGCCAGCTTCTCTACTGGTCACTTTGTATAGCACAGTATAAAGCACCTTGAAATGAGTTGTTGTGAACTGAAGTCAGATTGACACAGATATAGCACAGGGTTCAACTTCATCTACACTCTATGATTGTGACTATCAGCACAGCAGTGCCACTCAGTCTAGTTCTGCGTTCTAAAGTGTCTGTTTCCATCTCCTGTGATTTGCTGAAAGCCAGAAACCAGGGTGATACAATCTGCTACCAGTTAAAACACACTCATTGCTTCTGTGTGCAAAACTAGCTCCAGTCACTCCATCCCAAACCAGACACTGAGCTGCATTATCAACTGCAGCCTGTGTCACCTACCACTGACATTTCCACTGGTGACATAGGCAGAATAAAAATGTATTAGGCAGTACTGAACTCTTATCAGATTCAGTTTGCTGAGTAAATATAACCTGATGGGATCATCACTTTTTGATTCATTAAACACCCATGCCCTTAAATACTTCAATGAGTCAAAGTGTTGAAACCAACATTTCCATGCTGGACACAAGCTTGTGTGGGTATGAAAGTTTTTCTAATGTGAATTAAAGGTGTAATCAATGGTAAACAAGGAGATAAAGCAAGTTTCTGACAGGGTCTGGGCTTGATAAAGACCCACAAACTTGAACTAGACTGGAACCACATGGGACTGGATTAGGGACAGTTGAAAAGCCAGGGTTCTGTTTGAGCACTATGGCCCACCAAAGTGGACTCTGAATAATGTTTTTAAAATGAAAATCGAATCTAAGCATGGTTTTAACTGGCACTGCAGAAGGTTACAGACATTTGTGAAAATATTATCCTTTACATTTTTGTATACACTAAAATAAATCCTCAGTCCTTTATGAGTAATTTATGTAATGTAACAAAACAATGCATTTAAACAAACCATTGATTAGACGAGGTGAAGATAAAGGTAGAAAATAGAATTTAAAAATCTAGTTTCAAACAGTTAGTCCAAGCTTTTCTAACAATGGTCATTTTGTTAAGATTTTACCTATTTTGGTAAGACTCTGTGCTCCACGGTGTCTGTAGGTTATACAGACTGTATGAAAAAGACAATATTATAATATTAATATTGTTTTACTTAATTAGAAGAATGTGAGCAAGAAGTCTGTATTAATTAGGCTGGTTTAACATTCAACATTTTTGCTGACTTGGGACACTGTCCCACAATCTTCCCTCAAATTATTAAACCCAGAGCAAACCAGATTCTGCAAGGCTAACTTCAGGTCCTTCCATAATATTTTTGTTGGATTAAGGTCATGACTTTGACTTGGCTACTAGAAAACATCTTTATTCTTCTTTAATCATCCTATAAATACTTGCGTTGTGCTGAAGGTAGCTGTTGTGCTGCATGAGATTCAGTATAGATGCCCTGATATTTTCCTTCTGAATTTTGAAATACTATACAAATATTCTGAATGCAGTTTTACAATGTTTAATAATACCTTCTCTTATAATCTAAGATCTTTTGTTTACCATTGTCAATCTTGCTCCCCAGGAAGATAGAGTGCTTCTTGAGGATGGTGATAACAACCAGCAGTAGCTCATTATCTTCACGGTCCACAATCTTCAAAAGCATGTGAACAGTGTTTTTGTTCCTCATCTTCAGCTCTGTGTGTGTGTCTTCACCCAGGTTGAGCAGCAGAAACAGAGAAACTGCAGGGTCAAAGATAACAGTGCAGGTAACAGTTATTTTAGCTGTGGTTCTTGTACCTTGCTTTTAAAGACTTTTTAGAACTGCTGTTTAGAGATAAATAAACCTTTACTTAATTATAAAAAGACACAAATACAAAAACACACTAAACTAGCAAAAAAATATGACTTATACAAGTGTACCTTAAAAACAGAATACTGTAAAAAAGTTAAATTCCCACCCGGATCCAGTAAGGGTCCTACTAGACCCCCATGCTAAAACCAAGCCCTGGAATGGCACAGCTACGTCTGCAGCCTGTCCGTACTCTGTATGATTGTGTATGTGACAAATAAAGGTTAGTTGTTGTTGTTCTTTATTTGCAGCTGAATTTAAAAACGGTAAACTTTAATAAACTATTTTCATTACATGTGAATTGTTTTCAAGACCTTTTTGGTTAAATTTGATGATTAAAGCTTATAGCTCATATAATTCAGAAATCTAATATGAAAAAATAATAGAATATTACATCTCAAGTACGTAAATTAATATTTTAAAAGTATAATATGTGTCTTGGTCTGGTTCAGTACACTCAATCACAAACATGATTACTATACCTTTCTAATGTGATGATGTTGTGTCTTGTTGTTGCCCCTGGCTCTCTTTCTCTCTCTCTCTCCCTCCAACTCTGTTCCTGTGCTACTGCAAGTGTAACTACTGCTCCTCCTCCCTCTGCTCAGTGCAAGCACAAGGCTCACGTGCGGAGTGAAGTGAAAAAAAGTGCGAGAGGGAGGGTGAGAGAAAGAAAAAAAACAAACAAACACGTCTTCTGTCGTTCACTTCAAAGAGCCCGCTCTAAGAGCCGTTTCATTCGCGACCAGCACATCACTAATGGAAAGTTGACAAGAAGGGAAACGTGTGATAGCAAAAGATTTATAAGCAATGGAGATGAAACCAGCCTTAAAGAATTATTAAATAAGAACTTGTGACAGCTGCTACAACTCTCACACAATCATAGCTGGAACACAGGTGGTGGTAGTTGATCCACTGTGCTTTCTCAAGTTCTTGATGGCAATACCAGGTAGTATGAGCTTGGTGGCATGATGATAGAGTGGGTAGCACTGTCCCCTCACAGCAAGAAGGTTCCTAGTTCAAAACCTGGCTGGAGGCTTGTGTGTGGAGTCTGTATGTTCTCCATGTGTCTCTCCAAGTACATCAGCTTCTTTCCACAATATGAAAACAGGATTAAGTGCATAGAATAAAACACTGTATGAATGGGTGGTTAAACTGTTGATTGTAGACTTAAGTTGTTTAAGCAGTCAGTAAGACTCACAATGTGCTATATAAATGCCAGTCCATTTTCATTTATAAAAGAACAGCAGAAAGTATTTATCTGTTACCTAGTTGACAGAAAGTGTAAAACCCCAAAATATACATGAGCTGAAGGCTGCTTTCAAAGCAATCTGGGCTTCAATAACAACTCAGCACTGGCACACGTGGATCACCTCCAAGTTATGCCACGCTGACAGAGTAATTCTTGGCAAAGGAGCATAAAAGATGATATTTTTCAGAATTTGGACATTTATATCTTATAAAATCTTTTTTTAAATTGAGCTCATGAAATATTCAAATAATACTACTTCCGCCAGTGGAAACCCAAACAAAACACGCATTTAGAGGCTCTAATACCTGCGTCTTAATCTCGCTGTCCATGTCACCTCTACTTGCAGCCTACATAATGACATGACTAAATATTTTTAAAAATTATTTTTCCAAAAATTAGTTAATATGAAGGCAATAGGCAGTGTTACAGGTTTAGCCCTAAAGAATGGTGACTCATGGGCAGTATAGCCCAGTTGTAAGTAAGCTATTGAGACTTGACTGTACACTGTGTTCGTGTTTTCCTCTGAAACAATAAGTTCCGTTGGAGCAGTCTTTTAACGCCTCTCTCTGTCTTTGACGAGCAAAGTTGACCCAGACAACAAAGTAAAGCTAGTTTTCAGCTACGAGCCCGACACGCAACCCGACGTATTAGCCAGAGGTCCCTTTGCTACGGTTCGGAGCCGCGGACCTGTACGAGATCGCTGCAAAAAGTGCAGCCTTACCTAATGTCCGCCCTACTGTTACTCATTTTATATTAAGATTTAAAAATCTAGTTGGTATTGGTATGGCGACTATCCTTTAGTAATAGTAATAAATCACACAGCAATAGTACATTCATGTAGTTGGAAAAAGCTTGATAGTATATTAAGTAATCCAAAGTATTCAGAATACGTTACTCTCATTGAGTAATGTAACGGAATACGTTACAAAATACATTTTAGGGCATTTATTCTGTAATCTGTAGTGGAATACATTTTAAAAGTAACCTTCCCAACACTGGTTACTGGCTCTAAGAATACTGCTGATATCTTTCTTTTGTTTTGTAGCAGTCCTCAAGCAGATTAACTGCATATGCTTCTTAAGTGTAACCAGTGATTAGGTTCATTATTGGTTAATCTTGCATTTAATTTCATTTAAAAACAGTGAAGACAAGCAACCCCAGGTATTTTTTTGTCTGATCAGCAGTATAGCACCCAAAGTATCCACCTCACTATCCATGACCAAGAAAAAGAGCACATCTTTCCTTGTGAAAAGCTGAACTTTTCATTTAGTTTCAAAAACATCATATAGAACTATGGATTCATTCATACAGATGATTCATATTAAAAGTAAAATCACAGACAAAAAATTAAGAAAGAAGGCAAAATAGACCCACAAAGGACATAAAATCCTGTTACTGAAACTAGTTTTACAGCACGGTAAGCATAATTAGGAACAACAAATAAAACCAAAGATCTATTGCATAGAGGAAAATTAAAGTGAAGAACACTCTACCTTGGAGAAACCTGGTTACAGCAGGATGATTATGTTAGTTTAAATCTACACCCAGACTCATACTAATTGCCAGAGTCCTCAAAGCACAGGCCAAGGAGGGAATCTTCCACTCCAGCTTATTAATCAACCAAAGACCGAAACAGAGTATTATTTAATTTGAAAGCCTGACGCTTAGCCTGAAAACCTCAGAAAACTGTTTTATTTTTTATTTGTTATCCATCATCTACCTGAGCCTTACTCAGAGTTTCTACCCTATTTCTATCGATCTGACTTTTTATCTGACTTCAGTGCTCAACTCAGATAAAATAATTATTCTGGCCACTTTTTAACTCACAAAAGTGCTGCAGTTATGGCCAAATGATGCAGTTTAAGTTATCATTTAATGTCTGTGAAATTAAATAAACTTAGCTGATTTAATTTTCTGGAGCAACAACGGGTCAAAGAACCAAAACAGCAGGAATCACACCTAATTTATCAACAATTATAGCTGCATACGGAGAACAAGCCACAGGACAGCTGAACTAATCACCCACTAAAATTAAGTCTACATAGACTTCTTGTGTTCTTCCTCTACTTTCTTTAGATTTTTGTCCTCAGAGAGTGCTTCATGTAGCAATAGTCAAGGAACTCAAATAAATACAAACCACAAAAAACACATAATCAAGTGTTTTTGACTCTTTATAAAGGGATATAAGCCTCCTTCTTCTGCAGCTCATCTTGCCAAAGGTCATACTTCTTCAGCTCATATTCAATGATATTCACACACAGGGACCCAATCTTGAAATGTGTGATCATTCCATGGAACTGAAGTAAAAGACTGCTATTTATCCAAAAGTGAATTTTCAAAACTATTTTTTTTTCTTTTAATCAAATTTGGGATTCCAGCTGTCATTGAAATTACCCAATCGGTCACCCCTGAAATATTTTACAAAGCAAACTGACAAAGTCAAAACACATCCAGTCAAACAGTATGTCCTTGTCTGACGCATAATCAGCCCAACCTGAGCCATTTCACAAGCCAATTAGTGTAACATGGACAGGGAGACAAGCCAAGAATGACGATCAGTTTTCAGACATACATCTTGAAGCCTAAATTCGCCCTGACAGACGTTTATGTGTTGTTTTAGTGAGGGCTTATTTTATCGTTTCAAAACACACAGCTAAAGAGTAAAACTTTGCTGCCAAAGATGGGTGATTAATGTGAGAGAGACAGAGAGAGAGCAGATAAAAATGAACATGACCCTGGAACAGGACAACTGAAATATAATAATATAAATAATCTAACAATATATTAACAAGATGCATATGGCTGGTATGTTCGGATGTCCAGATACCTTTGGCCTAACTATGGTGTTGAGGTGGGGTCTTGGGTCAGCTCCAAATGGGGGAGGTGGAGCTGGATGGCTCAGGGCCATCAACAGGTGAGGTGACTGGCACATCTCTTGTACATGAGCTAATCCCTCTGTTGCTTCCCATTTCAGCAGCATGCTGGAGCAGTATGCAGTTAAGGAGCAAACCACATCACTGTTCTCCCTGCCTCTATTGTAGATACACCAAGCTTATTCTAGAGTGACTTGAATGCCATCTCCGATTCTAAGCCCTGCTATGTTACTACTCTTGAAACAATATACTAGATTTTTTACCTGGAGAAACAGAAGAAGACAGAGATGATGGTTGTTGCCAAGTCTATACTCCACTTCCAGTCTTCTCTTAGGACTCTGGCCAAGGCTCTAAGGACAGTTTCTGGGAACACACGGGTAAACAAGAGTCATTATAGATATGTGTAATGCATATGCAGGAGACAAAATAAAGGAATGAGGAAGGAAAAGAAAGGAAAAGCAGAGTTTTTGAAAGTGCAACTGGAGGTTAATTTAAAAGAGTGTTGGGTAATGTGATCATGCTGACTGCTACTGGGGATTGTGACCTGTGGGTGCTTCACATCCAACATATGTCTCCGTGTTCATCTCTTCTTTCCACCCTGACCCCAGAGTCTCGGTTCACATAAATACTTGGCTCTTATCAGTACTGGACTGCCTGATGTGGCGTGGCAGATGGAGTGAGCAGACAATGCTTTATGACAGAAACAAATGAAGTTGTGCCATCTCACAAAGGATGGAGGCAATGATGGATACATGCTGTTACAGGGAAAAAAGGGCTTTTGGTCACGAAAGGGAGACGAGCAGGAGCTGAGCTCTGTTTTCTTCCCAAGTCAAAGAGTAGCAGAGTGAAGGAGCTATAACACTGAGATCTTAGTGAGTTCTAGCAATTTTGATCTAAATACAGTCATTAAGTAAAGGTTTGCAGTAATTCATGGTTCGTCTTCTAAAAGTCATGTGAGCTTAATTCCAATTTTGAGCATAAAGACTTTTTATAGATCTGAGTAAGGTCAAGTCAGAGAATGATCCAGGAAGAATATCTTTGAACAAACACTTAATAATCTGATCTCAGTATATGACCACCTCATTCAGACTGCGGCTTTTTAAATTATTATTATTATTTTTAAATTTTATTTATTTGAACAACTCTCCTATCTATGTACAAATACAGTTTCTTCAGAGAAATAGAATACAGAGTCACAGACTTAAGGCACAAATATAGGATCTATAGAGGGAAAAAAGAAAAAACAATATGTAAAAAAATATAATAATAATTAGAAAAATAAATAGTAGTGCGTTACACCCAACACTGCACAAAACTATCTGTTTTTCCAAAAAAACACAAAAACTTTTCAGTAGTACTGCATAAAATCCTGTTTACTCTTTCCCTCCCAGGCTTCTAGACTTCTAATTGGCCAACATTTCTACACGGCTTGGATTTGGTTCTTCACAACGTTTGACTGTGTTTTGGCCGTTTACATGTGGACGGAGAGATTTTTCAAAACTGCACGTGTGGACAAGATTTAAAAAAACAAACAAAAATGGAAAATCTCTGTTTTCAAAAATACCTGTGTACGTGTGGACGTAGCCTATAACGTATCTACCTTCCTTACCCTTTATTTCTTTGCGAGATTCAAACTTAAGGGAATTAGTTATCAGAATTGCAACCCCTCTTTTCCTAGAATTTGTATGAGAGCTGTAGAAGGTTTTTTTGAACCTAAATTTCCTTAATTTTTTGTGTTCTATTTTTGATAAATGAGTTTCTTGTAAGAAAATTATCTGTGTCTTCTCCTTTTTGAGTTTAGTCATAATCTCGGCTCTTTTAACTGGGTTACCAGTGCCATCAACATTAAGGACATACACTTTATTTCTTCATGTGTAGTATGCATTATCCTTTTGTGATTTACTGGCTGTCTTTTGAGACCCCCACAGGCACCCCATTGAACCCTTGTTTAAATAAAACATTTTCATTAACAAACTGCAACTTAGTTTAACTATGTACAAATAAGAGGACTTCAATAAAGATGTACCAGCCACCTTCCCCACCTGTTGTTCCTCTTTTTGTTTTTGGGGGTATGTCTCTCGTATTGAAAAGCCCCCCCTCCAGTAATGAGATATGACTCACGAAAGATTGTCACACTCATACTAGTGCTTGTTATTATGTACAGTCCATCCCTAGCCAACTTTGTGTTCCATATAGTCCTGCCAGACACACCTTAGATCCATCTTGTTGTCATATGTCTCCATATTTGCCTCTCATTCATTGTTATCCCATATGGAAAAGATATATGTAAATCTTATAAAGTTTCTATCTGTCTTGTGTGAAACTTGTATGAAAAGCATACAAGAGTGAAAACAGATATAAGATCCCTTGAAAAATTATATAAATGAAACGTATGTTTTGGATACTTACTAAAACAATATATGAAAGTAATGAGACAGTGGCCACTTTCATGAGTAAATCATATAAGCCTTATATGATTAACTATATGAAGTAGGTCACATCTTATGCAAGTCTTTTATAAGTTTTCACTATTTCTTTTCCATATGGGATCCCTATGCTGATATTCTTGAATTCTCTCTTGAGCTCACCTGCTAGCCAGGACTGGACTGGTTTCCATGTCGCTGCCTGGTTGACAGACGTCCCTCAGTGCTCTTTTTCTCTCCCTGCTGATATAATTAGTGTTTTCCTAAGGTCACTTGATATAATTAAAAGTAACCAGAAGAGCACAAAACAAGTTAAACAAGTCTTTTCCTCAATGTCCTCATAAAGCAGCTCACATATTCATCAATTCTGATGATGCCCGCTTTGTTATCCACCTGTAAGAAAATAAACACCAGTCGTCAAAGAGAATACAGTACCATATTGAAGAATAGTATATAAACATATATACTGTTTTACATATGATCCAACACTGCACTCCATTATTAACTAAAACAAGATTTTGATGGAGCCTTAAAATCAGTCCCTACTTCTAATCCAGCACAAGGAGGAAAGTCTTGAAGTGATATCTGTTTCTTCCCCTGGGTGTCTGTGAAAAGCAACATCCACAACAAAACTATTACGATAAACTAGTTCCATTATTCATAAAGAATGAGTCTTACAACAAATGCTCGCAGTCATATTAAAATAGTCCTAGAAAACTCATCTGTACCATTTGATTGCTTGCCGTTTTGCAGGTAGAAGAGCAACTGCTCCACTTCATGGAGTTTAGATGGGTGAATCAGTGGAGATTCCTCAACCACCTTCTGAGCAAGAGTGTGTGTCTGTGCTGGCATTCAGGCCTTTTAGGCAAATGCTAAAAGTGGCAAAAATGCAAAGGTAAACATTAAATTACAATGTTTTTTTTTTAATGTAAGGTACATAACAAAAAATCAGCTCATGTCAATAATTAGTCTCACATTTTCTGACAATCTTTTTGGACGACAACCTTGGGTTCCTCCAGCTCCCCAAGAACAGTTGCCTCCACCTTATACTGAACAACAAGAGCTGTGTCAGTCGGGTGGATATCCAGAGTACATCCCTTTAAATTCCTGTGGGTCAAGCAATTGTAAAATTTACACCAAAACCATGGTGTTGTAATCATCTGCAGAGAGCTAACTGCCAGATACTAACAGCTCTCCAGTGAGAATCACCTGTTTTGATTTCTTGGGTACATTTAAAACAATTCAGCTGTTGTTACTAAAAAAAAAAGATGCTACTGGAAATCTCAGTAAACACATCCACCATCTCATGACTACCTGACAGACTGGCTGTAGTACATGATACTGGGAAGTGATCTGTCTGGTATTGCGGGGCTGTGGTGTCTCCATTTCTAGTCACCTTGTACAACCTCAGACTTTCAATACAACTCTGGGTCATGCCACATACAGAAATACTGTCATTAGTCTCCGGTAGTTTAATTTACAGAGCATTGTGGACAATCTTTTGGAGTGGTCTGAAAGGAATCATCTGCTTTTGAATGTGAAGAAGACCAGAGAGATGGTGATCAATTTCAGAAAGGAACAGGACAGCTACACAACCCTTGTCTACCCTGAGACAGGATGTTGATGAGATGGGCATCCGCATCAACATCAGGCTGAACGGGAAGTCCAACACAGTTCAGTAAACAGGTGCAATTTCCCAAGGAAGCTGAGACCGTTTAAAGTGTGCAGCAATATCATTTTCTAACAGTCAGCTGTGGTAAGTACAGTGTATTTTGCTGTGGTCTGCTGTTTAACAGCTGGTGACACCAACAGTGAAAATACTATACATCTGTGTGGCAGAGAGGCATCTCACATATGTAAGTACTGTAACAAAAAGATTTACCAAATAAAGGACGCATAAAGTATTTAACACCTCATCTCATTTTTTGTGTGATTTGTTTAGCTGGTTAGTGTTTTTTGTCTCACGGCTATGCAATCATATGCCTTTTTGGGAGAAATCAACTGAGTAACGAAATAATGACTGATCTATATTATGAGACGCCTCTGTGGTTAAATCAAATTCAAACTTACTTCCTCTGAGATACTTTCAAAAACGTCTAACTGCTGTTATCATGTAAACTGACAAAGCAAACCAAAATATAAAATAAAATTGAAACATTAAAGCCTTAAACTTAGGAGATGTTCAATGACTCAGCGGGGTATTTTTCCACTCCATTGAAATATTTTCACAGTTTCCAGGCGCTCCCAAAAACAAATGCCTCTGCATTACTTGAAACATTCCCAGTAAGATTTCGTTTAAATCATTGTACGTATTTTTCGGACCATAAGGCACACCAGATTAGAAGATGCACTGTCGATGAACGGGTGAACATTAACTTTTATCGAGTGGTTAGCGTTTATCCTCCAGATTCACCGTTTATATTATGCTAACATAGCTGTGTTGCTAGCAATCACGTAGCACATCATTATATACCAGCTAGCCCAACATCAGTAATCCCACAAACGTCGCTGCTGTTTAGTTTTCTGTCTTCATTTATGTTGGAAGTGATAGCAGAGCTGTACGATTTAATTTTTTCAGAAATCCCTGTCAGAACATGGTATATCATGTTTAGGTGGAAAATAGCGAGCTAACTTCCTGCTAACTTCTAATTCCGTTAAATTTAATAAATTCTGTTTTCATGGATGCCTGGATGTTAAACTTAATTGTTACACCTAGTAAAGCAGCAACACTGATCATTTTATTAAAGATGAAAGAATTTAGACAGTCTTAACTGTCAGTGATGCTGCCGTGTTCGTTTGACTTTAGGACCTGAAGCGGAGTTTGGACCCTGATTACTCCGCCGCCAGGCTTGGAACAGTAGCCGTAATGCTCTGACAATCCATCAAGTGGTGTGTTACTTTTACATTTAGTAAATGCTTACTAAAGAATTTTTGACAGATTTTTGAGTGCCATGTACCACATAAAATCGGTTCGAGGTCAGTAAGCACAACCAGAATGCATACATAAGGCACACTGTAGATTTTTGAGAAAATTAAAGGATTTTAAGTGCGCCTTATAGTGCGGAAAATATGTATATAGGGCTTTGGAATTGACGGTGCAACGTATTGTGGGAATTTGGTGCCATATTTGAAGGCCACGAATCAAAACAAACTGTGTTGGAAGGAAGATTGCTACGAACCATGCTTAAAAGCAGCTCAAAAGAAAAAGGATGTTATTGAGACAAATCGTGTCCGGATGCAAAGAGATGGTACTTGCAAAAAATAGCGTGCATTGGAAATGTGGACCTGTATGAAATACGGCAGTGGAGTAGAAACCTCAAAGACCAAACCGCTATTAACTTACCCTGATATATTTTCATACCTCGTCTCTGGAGTCAGTGCATACATGGCGAGCCAATTTCGCAATTATAAATCTCTGGAGCCACACAGCCAATTCACCAATGGTTAAGTACAAGATTTGCCTATTTTTAAGCCTCCACGTTGTGAGTAAGTCATCATTCAAAAAAAGGTAAGTCAACTTGAGTACTGCGAGTAAAATGCGTTTGATCCCCCGTGAACATTCAGATTGATTAACGCAAGCATAAATTCAGTCATGAGGGCGAAATTACAGTGAGAACATATGGAGACTCTGTTAGATGGACAACATAGTGAGTTCAGTGCATTGATGTGATATTGTCCTGAAGGATTTAGTCATTCTCGATGGTTAAAGAAATTGCAATAATTTATTCATATTTACTATATATAATCCTAATTATATATCTTGCTTCCGTGTTTGTGTCCTGTGTCACTACAATACATTTAGTTTTATACATTGATAATTGACCTGCAGAATCTCCTTATCATATTAGGTGTCCATAACTGTCACTTACAGACAAACTTTATGCTTTCTCCATCTTGAAAGTGATTACATTGATGTATTACATACTTTAGGTTTATTTTTTACAGGCAGGTTTCTAAAAAAGAACAGGCAGATTTAGAATATAACATGCAGCGTTCTATAGATGGATGCATAAAAAGATGAAAAATTACATGTATGTGCCAACTTTCTAAACACGTTCATTGTTACATTTATGATAAATGGATTAGAAAGTAGATAAAACACATTTGTGTCGGCTTTGGCTCATTAAAGATTTTGTCTTTAAATTAGTTTTGTCTTTGTATGTTTCAGGAAATCATTGTCTCTGAATTTTGTAACCACCGATAAGGGCCAGGGTTCGGTGGGAAACCGACCTCAAAGTTGAGCTTAGTGCAGAAGCATGGTCCAGAACTTTTAGATCTGCCAAGAAATTGTTTTCCTGTAACAGACTCCAGGAAAGCCATTACAGAATCTTATATAGACTGCAGCGTACCCCAGAGTTTTAAAATAAAGTTCATCCTCAGATTTCTCCTCATTGTGTAATGTGCGATATGGATGTGGGGACTTACTACCATTGCATACGGCAATGTCCTTTAATTACTAGATTTTGGAAGAATATTGCTACAGGGAGTGCAGAATTATTAGGCCAATGAGTATTTTGTCCACATCATCCTCTTCATGCATGTTGTCTTACTCCAAGCTGTATTTGCTCGAAAGCCTACTACCAATTAAGCATATTAGGTGATGTGCATCTCTGTAATGAGAAGGGGTGTGGTCTAATGATATCAACACCCTATATCAGGTGTGCATAATTATTAGGCAACGTCCTTTCCTTTGGCAAAATGGGTCAAAAGAAGGACTTGACAGGCCCAGAAAAGTCAAAAATAGTGAGATATCTTGCAGAGAGATGCAGCAGTCTCAAAATTGCAAAGCTTCTGAAGCGTGATCATCGAACAATCAAGCGTTTCATTCAAAATAGTCAACAGGGTCGCAAGAAGCGTGTGGAAAAACCAAGGCGCCAAATAACTGCCCATGAACTGAGAAAAGTCAAACGTGCAGCTGCCAAGATGCCACTTGCCACCAGTTTGGCCATATTTCAGAGCTGCAACATCACTGGAGTGCCCAAAAGCACAAGGTGTGCAATACTCAGAGACATGGCCAAGGTAAGAAAGGCTGAAAGACCACCACCACTGAACAAGACACACAAGCTGAAACGTCAAGACTGGGCCAAGAAATATCTCAAGACTGGTTTTTCTAAGGTTTTATGGACTGATGAAATGAGAGTGAGTCTTGATGGGCCAGATGGATGGGCCCATGGCTGGATTGGTAAAGGCAGAGAGCTCCAGTCCGACTCAGACGCCAGCAAGGATGGAGGTGGAGTACTGGTTTGGGCTGGTATCATCAAAGATGAGCTTGTGGGGCCTTTTCCGGTTGACGATGGAGTCAAGCTCAACTCCCAGTCCTACTGCCAGTTTCTGGAAGACACCTTCTTCAAGCAGTGGTACAGGAAGAAGTCTGCATCCTTCAAGAAAAACATGATTTTCATGCAGGACAATGCTCCATCACACGCGTCCAAGTACTCCACAGCAGAGATGGGCAGTAACGCGTTACTTGTAACGCGTTACTGTAATCTGATTACTTTTTTCAAGTAACGAGTAAAGTAAGGGATTACTATTGCAAAATCGGTAATTAGATTACCGTTACTTTCCCGTAGGAACGCTGCGTTACTGCGTTACTAAAACCGTGATTTTTTTGCGAGAATGTCTCATGACAGTGACGTAAGCAAGTGCGACGTTGGTGACAACAGCCGTGTGCAGATCAACAATGGATAATATATCGAGTGCGGGAGAGAGTATGAGCGTGCAGCGTTTAAAGTGTGGAAGTACTGACCTTACTTTGAGTTTGATTCCATAAAAAGTGACAAAAACATTAGCGTCCATCATGCGTGGGAAGAAAACTTCTTTTTACAGCGAAAAAAACCCCTAAACTTCCGAGCAAGCACCGAGTAGCTACGACGTGATGGGAAACTCACAGAGACACTCGCGTGGATTCTTCAACTGACCGCAGCACACCTACACCAGGGTAACCCTCCGCCTACCCTGCTCCTGCTTTACAGGTGAAAATAGAGCAAAAGGACCGCTGAGTCTTTGACTTTATTTATTTTCTGCTGTGTTTTACTTGCATCTGTTTGAAAGAGTGAGTGAAAACACAAAAAATATTTTATTTTATGTGCTGGAATGTGTAGAAAATAGGTTTAAATGTTAAACTAATTTATTCAAGTCAGAGAATGTTGCATATAATTAAATGTTTTGCTTGATGCATAAAGTTAAAAGATTAAAACTGATAAAACAAGTTAAAAAAAGAGACTTTTCCATTTGATTACATTTTGTATGATGGATTATGTAGAAAAAGTAGAATTGGGCTGAAAGATCTATCACTTTATCACCTCTTCAGGTTGTAAATCGTGTTTTTAAAAAGTAA